CGTTTATTTTGCCAGAAATCCTGGAGGAGGTTTTACTACAGGTAGTAGGAACTCGCAGTGAGCTGGTCGTAATGGTTGTTTTCAAGGCAAATAAGCAACAAATTACGTGTAAAGATTGCGACAGCGCATTTAAACAGGAACCACCTTCCAAAATGCCACATAAATCAGTATATTGCCGCGCATTGTTGGTCCAGCCTGGAGAACAGAAGGCTCCGGGGAGACCTTCCAGTACCTGAAGGGGCTACAGGAAAGCTGGAGAGGGGCTTTGGACAAGGGTGTGTAGTGAGCCATGAATTGGAATTGGTTGGAACAGGATGGTTTTTGAGGTCTCTTCCAACCCAAACCATTCTATAATTCTGTGAAAAACTGCCAGCCTCCCGAGCGTGGGAGGTGCTCGGTCCCAGAAGTTCAGACCCGAAGAGGCTCTGAGCTTTCTCACGAGCTGCATTCACAGAAACTACCTCTGCCTTCAGAAACTGAGAGTTTATTCCGTTTCCCATTTTTTTCTGAAACTCCATCTCTCAGGAAGTGGCTGCTTTAGTGTCAGAGAATCATAGAATGGCATAGGCTGGAAGGGACCTTAGAGATCATCTAGTCCAACCTCAGATCATCTAGTCCAACCTCAAGAAGAAGGTTTTAGCAGCACTCGTATTCCGATGGCGTTGATTGACTGTATGGTCATCACCTAAGACAGTTCCTGGGAAAGAAACCAACCTCTTGCCCAGGATAAACTGCAGTTCGCTCACGGGCACGCAGGAAGGTATTTCAAAATATTTAGAGCTTGAACACTCCTCTGTTGAAGAAGTGGGTTTGTCTCGTAACAATACAACTCAGTGCGTGCTTCAGCTTGCCTGAAACGTGAGTAAGAGGCTGAAAGCGTCTTGTTATTCTCACAGAAGAAAAAAATTATTAAATTACATTATTCTTATTTATAAGTAAGTTATCTTTAACTTTTTACTGGAAGAAATGGGCGAGCGCATTGATGACCTCGAGAAGCACGTTGCTGACCTGATGACAGAGGCCGGGATAGAAAACACCGATGAAGAGAGTGTTTTGAGAGTAAAGAAACTTAATTTTTACTGTATTTTATGTATTTCCACTTAGTTTTGAAATATGGGCAGCACCTAGCATGAAAATACTGTTTATATCTTTATCATACCTGCATTTCCTTGGATTTTAAGGTATACTGAGATTATTTCTTTTTTAAAAAATATTTAAAATTACCTTGTATTTCTTTTTGCCAAGAGCCAAAAAATGCTAACAGCTTTTTTTTTTTTTTTTGAAAAAAACCCCAAACCTGTAGCTTGGTTCATCTGTTCCAGCTGAGTCCCATATAAGAGGGGCAGGGCAAAGTAATCCCAAATATGTGGACAAGTACACTGGTGTGGCTGGAAGCCCTCCAGCCCCCGTTCCTGTCCCTCCGGTGTGTAACCCAGTTGGCTGAGGATTCTCGCTGGTGTAAATGTGGTGTAGCTGCTTTTAAAGCTGCCCCAGCTCCACAGCGTGGCTCCCAGCACGTCTCTCCAGTCCCTTTGCCCCAAACACAGCAGTGGTTTGTTCTCACAGCAGTGAGGTGGGACATGGAAAGAACAAGGAGGACCTCACACTTTCCCAACTCAACCCGAGACACACTAATTATCTTTGTCGTTTAGGGACTGCTTACCCAGGGAAAGACAGGAACTTCTGAAAATATATTAAATTAATGCCTTCTGATGCCTCTTTTGTGATAAACTATGTCGTAATTCTCACAAAGACAATCCATGAAGATGTATTTAACTGTACAGACATCTTCCTATTTTTCTGCTGGATCATATTCCTGAATAATTAAACCACTAACCTGCTTATTCACCGTTGCTTTGCAGCACTGAAACAAGGATGTGGTCAAGAAAGATAAAGGGAGAGCAGCACGCACTGAGTCTGGGAGTTTACAGTCGGTGTCACTCAGCACAAAAACCATCAGTGAAAACAAACACAGTTGTATCATGTCACAATAGAATCTCTTTTTTTAAAAAAAAACAAACTATTGCCCCAGGGAAATAAATGGGTTTATTTGTCTAAATGGGACGCTATTTTCTGTAATGGGGAAAGAACTTTTTGTTTCAAGGGAGGCAAAGCCACTATTTTGGATAGAAAACTGTATCCTACATAGTGAACTTAGCCAGTCACAAACTTTTTCGATGTATGAAAATGTATTTCGTTTATTTTAATAATATTAAAATTTTCATCATATTTATTTGTTGCCTTTTTAACGTAAACGTTCTCAGAGTAACAAGATCCTCCTTTGACAGAGCTTTTCCATTTGCATGGGCCACTCTGATGCTCCTTTAGGTTTTCCCCATCACAAAAATGCACCTTGGCCTATCAGATGTTCTTACAAAGGTGCCTTTGCAAAAATTCCACAGTCCAATGAACATCAACTGTTCTGCCCTAAAAAAAAAGCAGTATTTGCAGAGATTACAGCTGTTCAGTTGTTACTCTTTTTTTTCCACAAGCCTGCCCAAAGCTGTGCCCACCTGTGCCGATGACATTATCCAGGTACCGTGCCAATTTCAGTTAACATTAGCCATTTCCATGAAGGAGCCTGAAGACTTTGAGACAGGTGGGAATTTGAGTTCCCAACCATGTCCTGAACAAGATGTGGCAGAGTCAAAGAAAACAGGACATCTGCACTAACTTTAAGGTTCTTGTACATCAAAACATTGACACTTCTGGCAGGGAAGATTTTGTTTGAAACTTCACGGGAACCTCTTACAACAAAGGCAGAAACCGAAGCATTACCAGGTGGTGATGAGGCACTGGCACAGGTTGCCCAGAGAAGCTGTGGCTGCCCCATCCCTGGAAGTGTTCAGGCCAGGTTGGATGGGGCTTTAGGCAACCTGGTGTAGTGGAGGGTGTCCCTGCCCATGGCAGGGGGGTTGGAACTGGATGATCTTTGAGGTCCCTTCCAACCCAAACCATTCTATGATTCTATGAAATATCTCAGCTAATGAAGGATAAATATGCTTTTTAAAACTTTGGCAGGTGTTAATACTCCTCACAAGTTACAGATTCTTCATTAATATCAAGAAACCATTCTAATCAATGCTTTGATCAGTTTAGATTTGCAAACACCATCAAAGCAGGGGGAGAGGTCGCTATGGTAGGGGACAGGCTGGAGAAGTGGGCCAAGAGGAACCTGAGGAGGCTCAAAGGCAAGTGCCAAGCCTCTCCTCCAGCACAGGGTCAGCTTGTACAGCTGTGAGGGGCTGGTTGGCACGCAGCTCTGCAGGAAAGGAGCAGGGGCTGGCGGACAAGCTGGAAGTGCCCTGGCAACAAAGGCTGCCACCAGATACCAGTCAGTATTAGCAAAATTAGAGCCAGCTTGTCATTCCTCTCCGTTCAACTCTTGTGACACCACTCCTAGAATAACGTGTTGATTTGGGGGCTCTCCAGTTGAAGAAATAAAACTGTTACAAGAGAGATGAAACACAGAGCCATCAAGATATGGTGGAGTACAAAGCACACCAGCGTTTGAGAGAATTCTGTTAGCTCAGCCTGAGGAAGACTATGGCTTCTGGTTGGCATCAACCACCCCTTGGTAGAGCATGGGGAACACCGGCTCTTGTTGGAGGTGTTTTACACAAGAGAGTTCATAGATATAAGATGGAATACATGAAATACCATCTTCAACATTATCACTCTGCATTCAATTACATTTCTTTTCATTCTCAAATTTAATTAGCTGAAGAAAACTAAGGTAAGTGGAATTCACTTTATTCTTTTAAAAAAGATATAGTTTTCCTAGATATTTGTGTAACAAAAGCAAACAAAACCAGCTGAAATGTTTTTTCTGCAAACAGGCTTTTTGTGTACAAAAATACATAATACTAAAAGGACAACACAGAGTAAAGTCTTCAAAAATAAAATAAACAACTCAAAATTCAGCTACAGTGTTACCGCAGTCAGACAGTTCCAGGCTTCGTGTCTTCTACTTTTTCAAACAGGCTTCGAACCTTTTAAATAATTCAAAATATGTTCAAAGTTGAAGGATTTGTAGAGATTTTTATATATATCTTTATGTACACACATACATAAGTTCAGGTGGACACAGGGTTAAAAAAAAAGACAACCCCAAAGAAACGTCAGTATCTGTATTTTGTGGAATAATCCTTTGGTGACACCACCAAACCTCGACCTTTGCGGGCTCCTCTGTAAACAGTTTCTATAATGTCAATCATCTCTTGCTTATCTTCCATCGCCCAGTTGATCTTGTTGTTATTCCCTGTACCTAAATCAATCATTATGTGTTTGTTCCTTTAAAGGGAGAGGAAAAAAACCCAGACAAGTTAACAACATGGTATTAGAATTCAGAACGGAAGTTTGTATCCCCCACGAGAACGCTCTACAGAATTCAAAAGAAGCTCCTATGACATAAACAGCCTTGCAAAATAAGCCTCCAAGAAAGAACATCCAGCCCTGCCACGCACGCTGACATTCCACTGCCTGTTTCTAAAGCTGGAACAAAGACTGAAAACATGCTCAGTCTGGTCAGACAGCATCCCACTGCTGTCTCACACCAGAGAGCTCCACGCTTGTTCGCAGCACGTTTCATCTCACCAATGTAGACGCCTTAGACCTTAAGGCTTTGAGTACATTTTTAAAGCAAGTTTGACTCTCAGAGAGTTGGGGCTGTTCGGCTTGAAGAAGAGAAGGCTCCGGGGTGATCGTATAGCAGCCTTCCAGTACCTAAAGGGCACCTACAGGAAAGCTGGAGAGGGGCTTTTTCCAAGAGCGTGTAGTGATAGGACAAGGGGAAATGGCTTTAAACTGAAAGAGGGCAGATTTAGATTAGATATAAGAAATTTTTCACTCTGAGGGTGGTGAGGCACTGGAACAGGTTGCCCAGAGAAGCTGTAGATGCCCCATCCCTGGAAGTGTTCAAGGCCAGGTTGGATGAGGCTTTGGGCAACCTGGTTTAGTGGAGGGTGTCCCTGCCCATGGCAGGGGGGTTGGAACTGGATGATCTTTGAGGTCCCTTCCAATCCAAACCATTCTATGATTCTATTCTATGGCAAGCTTGACTGCCATACTGCAGTATTATATAGAGGAAGTTTCAGATTTAAAATCAAAAGCAATGGATAATAAAAAGTCACTACCACTAATCTGTGCTCTTATCAAAAAACACTGGTACTAGGCTAATTGGGCAACATGCCATTTTCTCTTTTGCAGAGCTATGAAAATGTAAGCATCATTGTGCTGATACGCGTTTAGAAATTATCTACTGAGGCACTGTATTCAACACAGGAAAAATTTAACTGAGCTGCATTCTAGAACCATCACGTACCTGAAGAAAAACATGACGGTACAGGGATCGTACAACTCGTACATCTTGTTGAAGTCCGGTACTTCAGTAATGTCCACAAGATAAATCACAGCAAAGTTTTTCACCTAAACAGAAGAAAACAGGAAATGTAAAAACAATATATATTACCAAGCCTTTGATTATTTGTATTACCAATTAAAAGACATAAGCTTTCAGTTTTTTGGAAAATAAACATTGCGGTAATAAGTCATAAAATCACTCTGTTTACTAACACTCTTGCCACTCTTTTTAACCACGACAACCAATTAACATGAAAATATTTTTCAACAGAGCCAAGATGCTCATTTCACATCCGGAATCAACTGGAAAGATGATCTAAACTCTGCTAAAAATCAACATTCAGAGACACAAATGCCCTTTACATCCTCAATGGTCTCAGCTCCAAACCAGTCACCAGCTTTGTACAAAAGTCAAGCTGACACGTTTTGCCTGTGGGCAGCTGCTCAGACACTTGAGAAAATTCATCTCCAAAATGCCCTGGGGCCTGCCTCCAAGCATTTCCCCCTCCCTCTAAGCCATCTCATTTGTTTAACAAGGCTAATTGAATGAAAATGAAGTGATAATTTCAAAATAAAAGGATTTTGGAGAGGTGTAAAGCTCAAACAGGAACTGAAAAACTTAATTGATTAGGAAAAAAAAAAAAAGACCTTGATGAGATGCTCTTCTCTGAGCAATTCTGGTACAACAGGCTTTCATTTTGCAGAGTTACGGAGTTAAAAGCACAAGAATCCCTCCTCTTTGACGTCATAGTTAACGTCTTCATTCCTGAAAGGAAACCATGTCACACTTTTGTTTCCTGGATGTAGCACATTTTTCCTTAAGTGGAATTAGGGGAATTTTGGGTTCTACACTTAGCTCACACATACAGAGAGTCGAAGGTATAGGAGACATCAACACGCACACATCAAAACACCAGTCCGCCCTGAGCTGTGACTGTACTCACACGTTACACCGTGAACGCGCAACCCTGCCCCTCCGTCCTTGCTTCCACACAAACACAACTCCAGTCCTTCCCGCTGAACTACACAAAACCACCAGTCTGAGGTGGTCTGAGGTTTATCACCAGTCTGAGGTAACACGTGTGGTCCGAGGTTTTTGACAAACGTGCTGTTTGTCACAGTACTTCCTGCTTATTAAGCTGGCTATCAAACATCTGGAAGTGCTACAACGAGGACAACTCCTGCTTGACGTAAAGGTGTTGTATTTTAGCCCACGAAACAGGATTAGACTGTACCAGAAAAATATTATATATTCAGGCTGGTGTGGATGCAGGATTGATCTATACTTGAGTTACTGAGCCTGTGGAGAAAACCCAAAGCTTAACCTTTTCCCATTCAACAGGAAGGGAATATATTATATATTCAGGAAAAATATTATATATTCAGGCTGGTGTGGATGTGGGATTGATCTATACTTGAGCTACGGAGCCTGTGGAGAAAACCCAAAGCTTAACCTTTCCCCATCCAACAGGAAGGGAATCCACCCCCCAGAGCTGTCAGTTCCTGTCTAGAACAAGCTTCACTATCGTTTCAAGGCAGGGGCTGCTGAGAAGTTTTCTTCCTGACTTTTGAGATACAGTACGGAGAGCTCAGAACGAGAATTAAATCCAGAACAAGAATTAAACCTGAGCAAGCAAACCACAGTAAATACAAGCAGTTGTAACAACTGAGACCCCACTGAGGTGGTTAAAGCAAACCAAAGTTTGACTGTCCAGACGCTATGCAAAAAACCCTGTGGTATTTCAGAGGCTGAACACGTAATAACACAAGTTTATTCTGAACGTACTTAACCTCGTAACACGCTGAAATATGGTAAATTTGTTGCAGTAAGTCAGCTGCTCTCTGGAAAAAAACAACTAAAAAACCTCCAGTGATGGACCTGATGGACCTCCTACCACACGTTACCTTACAGCCCAAGTGCACACAGCACATACCTAAGGAAATCTGAGCCAAGATCTCAGATTCCATCTTCCCACTTCCTAACTAGTTTCCAGCCAATGGTTTTTATGTTTAGATGTCTTTATGGACAAGGAAATCACAGGGAAAAAAAACAGCAACTGAAACTAGCTTTTGCAGCAAATCATTCGAGTGGCAGCAGCCCAGCAGACTGGAATTACTGAGCTGAACGAAGTGAAAAACACAACTTTGAAAGCCTCTACTGTCAATATTTTTTTTTTCTTACTAATTACCAGTTTAGGAGATAAATTTAGAGAGGAACAGAGACAGACATTATGCTGCTGAGAGCAATGCTCACAGCTAACAATTTTGAAAACTCTACATGAGTAAATGAATTAACTTTGCTCAACTTTAATGACCAACACTAGTAACTGTAACACCAGTATAGTGTATAACACCAGTATGTTCTTTTTACAGCTCCCTCTCCCCCCCACCCCCTTCTTTTCCTCCCTCACATTTCATGGAACCTTCACAGAAAGGCAGAGGCACGACTGATGTTTGAGAAAAAAAAAAAAAAGCTGCAGCTATTCCCACTTCTGCTGACAGCTAAATAAATGCAAAACATTTGAAGGATCCTCCCTAACCCCACACTGACCCAACACAACCTACTGGTTAAAGTGGCCTGGTTTCACAAGAGGTTATCTGATTTACAGCATTCAGTCCTAGATAAACCATGATTTTAATGCCCCTTTTCAAATAAATATTTAAAAGTCATTTAGCAGTCAAAGTACTATGTTTCAGGGGATTATTTTTTTTTTATAATTGTGAGCCTTATTTTTAAAAAACACATTCCAGAGGAATTTTGGGAAACTCAGTTCTTGAATGTTTGGTTGAAACCCTGACGAAGCAAAAATCTAACATCTTGCAATCCTCACTTGTTTTGAAACTCTGTGAAACCTTGCTTCTTTTTCATCTAACACCGGGGGGGGGGGGGGGGGGAGGGGGCACCCGAAAGGGGGTCAACTTTAAGTGGAGTACATTTCAGTGAAAAGAATCTGCTATTTTCATATAGTGTTTTAGTTTCTTTTCCCCCAAAAGGATTCAAACAGAAAAAAAAAATCCTGTTTTCCCATTATAAAGTGCAGAAAATATTACTGCTACCCAAAAAATATGCTGCAGGCTAAGAGAATATTGCACCGTGGTCACAAACGTCAAATATTGCTACGTTTTCTTCAAATGGAGCACACAACCACAACATGTTAACACTCTGTATTATTCTCTCGCATAAACACCTGTACAATGGGAACTTCTACTCACTCTTTAGAACAGCAGAGATCCAAACACGGCTTGTAAACAAGAGGATGGGGAAGGATCTCCCCCTTTAATCTGCCATTTCTGCAGAGGGAGATTGGTAAATAAGAAGTTACGTTGTTCTTCCTTGCCCCAGTCGTCCCTGCCTGCCAAAACGCCCGCCAAACTGCCAAGCACCCTGCCAAAACTCAATACTAACATCAGACACAGGGCACTCTCACCACGTTAAACCCAACCCAACCATGTTACAACTCCTTACCGCGTTCTACTACGTCTCAACGTTCGACTACAGATCTTTCACTGGAGGGATTTCGGAGACAGAAGTTCACTTATTTAAAAATAATTAAAAGAGAAAGGAGCACACTACAAAAAAAACCCTATACAAGTCACGACCCAAGTTACCCTTTCTGGTTCATATTTTTTTGCTTCAGTGTTCAAGGCCAGGTTGGATGGGGCTTTGGGCAACCTGGTGTAGTGGAGGGTGTCCCTGCCCATGGCAGGGGGGTTGGAACGAGATGACCTTTGAGGTCCCTTCCAACCTAAACCGTTCTATGATTCTCTGTGATTTGGTTAAAGAAGAGCTGCCGATTTTCTACTTCTGCCACTAAGCAAAACTCTTACCAAGCTCAAGAAAAAGTAAGTTATAGCTGATTGTGTATGTTAACAGCCTGATTTCTCCTCAGCATCTATCTTTCTTCAGTAAGTGAGACCCCACCTGCAGTGCTACGTTCAGCTCTGGGGTCCCAGCACAATAAGGACATGGAGCTGTTGGAGCGGATCCAGGGGAGGCCACAAAGATGATCTGAGGGCTGGAGCACCTCTGCTATGGAGACAGGCTGAGAGAGTTGGGGCTGTTCAGCCTGGACAAGAGAAGGCTCCGGGGAGACCTTCCAGCGCCCTCCAGTACTTAAAGGTGGCCTACAGGAAAGCTGGAGAGGGGCTTTGGACAAGGGTGTGCAGTGACAGGACAAGAGACAATGGATATAAACTGAAAGAGGGGAGATTTAGACTGGATATAAGGAAGAAATTTTTCACTCAGAGTGGTGAGGCACTGGACCAGGTTGCCCAGAGAAGCTGTAGATGCCCCATCCCTGGAAGTGTTCAAGGCCAGGCTGGATGAGGTATTGGCAACCTGGTGTAGTGGAGGGTTTCCCCGCCCATGGCAGGGGAGTTGGAACTAGATGGTCATTGAGGTCCCTTCCAACCCAAACCATTCGATGAGTCTATGATTCTGTGATTCCAAGTGACCCGTTGTCAGCAGGCATTCAGTTTCCATCTGAAAACAGCTTCAGAGTTTGGCTCCTACAATTTAACTGAGCTCACGTGACTCCATGGAATGCCACCTGCCTCCACAGATAACGGCACTGATAGATTAATCGGCACCATCCTGTACATTTTAGGATCTCATTTGAGAGTCCAAATGAACGTACCTTTTCAAGTTGCTGAAATGGAAATCTGAAGCTACTAGATATTCTAATTGTGAAGTGACAGTGCTGCACTGCCTCCAGCCACCGCAGTCCTACTACCACGCACTTGTTTCTGCTTGAATGCTGATGTTCATTAAATGGTAGGTGATTAAGAAGCAGCGGTTTTGATTTCGGAACACACAGCGCTCTTGTCACCCCGTTAAATACTATAAACATCAGGGTGGCCGATGACTTTAGGAGACACCCATGGAAGCAAACCAACCAGCTTCCTCGCTGCCTGCCAAGGCAGGAATAACTCTCCAGAGTTACAATACCTCTCCAACCAGCTTTCTTGCTGCCTCCCAGAGCAGGAATATCCCTCCCAGAGTTACAATATCTCTCCGAACGGCTTTCTTGCAGCCTCCCAGAGCAGGAATATCCCTCTAGAGTTAC